GGGGCCCTTAAGCTGCCCAGGAATTTTGCTCCAGTTGGCTGCTTTGGGTATGTTTTTCTCATTTCTCCCCCAGGCACCAGGTCTCTGCCATACCCCTTCCCAACACCACTGGCCTCAGTTTCTTGGTCAGCCAGACGTATTTTCACACCTGTATGCAAAACCATCCCTGGGCTTTGATTACAGATGCTCCTAAAGTAGCATCAAACAGCAGGGAGCTTTCTCCATACCTGATTTGTGCTTTGTTGGGTCTGGTTTGCTCTACCACCATCCTGCTGGCAGTACACTCCCAATGTGGGTCCTCTGTCCTACCCAGCTCCCTTGGCTGAAGGACTATGAGATGGCATCAGTGTCCGCCAACATCCCTTGGCACCAGTAGTTGTGGGAAATGCCAGCAGTCACATCCTGACTGGAGACTGCCAAGGGGACAAGGACACTCCTATGGATGGGACACACAGGGCTAGCACCTGGCAGTTTTGGATCTGGGTGCATTTTCAAGGAAGTCCCTCTTCTTTGTGTCCTCCAAGCAATGGGGATGACTTGACCTGTTTCCCATAGCTGCTGTTCCTCTGCATGTTAAACAAGTACAAATCCTTTAGACAAAAGCATGGATGACATAAGTTGGGGGAGAGCCCAGGTAAAGGGCCCTTGCTTGGCAAGAGGTTGTCCTACCCCATGACGCCCCTGAATCTTGCAGAAAAGGAGAGTGATTGGCCTTTCTCAGGCTGCAGGAGGTTCAGCATGCAGAGCCAAGGCTAAAAACGAGGCTGGGAATTGCTCTGAGAGGGGTCTGAAACTGTAGTTTATGGTATGCTGGAGAAGAGACTTGCAAGACAGGACAACTAGGTCAGTTCTGGACCCCTCAGCAAGGGACATGGCACCTGCACTCACAATGCATCAACATACAGAAGAACAAAATGGTCTTGGCCAGTTGGTTTTAGTAAGGTGCTCAAACCAAGGCTGACCTTCAGAAGGAAGGGTGGGTTAAGAGTCATCAGCCACGCTCAGCAGTATCCCCTCCTTTCAGAACCCTTGCTACTGAAAACACAGGGGGTGTTGTTCAATGCAGTACCCAGGCATCTGCAACCACCATGGGTTCCTGCAGCTGAGCTCCCCAAACCTTCAGGACCCCATCAGCCATTAAAAAAGGGAGCAGTATCTGGCTCTGAGGCATGGATTGAGGCAGCCTTTCTGGATAGTCATTCCCTAACAGCTCTTGGGCTGAACCACAAGGGCTGGTGCAGGCTACTTCAGTCTCTCCCCACCATCCCAGGTCTCAGGTACTGCGGCAAGGGGCAGAGGCATGAACTGAGTACAGGGTGCTATAAAGACATTTTCAAGGCAAAGAATCATTGCAAGGAAGAAAAGATCACTTATACACTCTCGAGGCACCCATACCTCTCCATTCACACCCTTCCTACTGTTATCTGAATCACTAGCACCCAGACAGCCAAACCAAACAGTCCTGCTCAGCTTCTGCCATTACCTGCCGGCTGCTCCGCTCCTAGCTCCACCTGACTGACAAGCTAAGCACAGCTGCACTAAAGGTGACCTGCTGCAAAAGCACGATTTCTTGATCAGTACTGGTGCTCTACCACTGCACCACCTGCTGCACATAGCTACGTCAAATAAGAGTGACTGCCACCAAACACAAGTTTGAGCCTTTTTATCCAAGCCCCTCTCCCCGCCTCGCTCTTCTCAATCTCATCCTGCACCACAGAGGAATCAGTCAAATCACTGCAATTCATCTTTTTTTCTCCCCCAGATTCCTAGCAAGAAAATATTTATCTATCTGTGGTATGATCATCAGAGATTTCTGTAGCATCACCTGTCAATAATGAGTCAACAGTGTCTGATTTTGAAGAGCACATTAGACAAATATCCATCAGTACTGTTTGAGTTTGGTGCTACGTGGGTACCTGCTGGAGAACGGCTTGCAGAGAGCAAGGCCATAGCTCCCTGCAGGAGCTGGTCGGCCATAGCTCCCTGCAGAAGTCGGTCACAGCCACCTGAGGTAAACAGAGGAAAAAACCCAGGGTGCAGTTATACTAATAAGGAAGGAGATTCAAGGCTCAGTGATGCTAACAGGGACTGTTGTGAGAACAAAGAGATAAGTTGGGGCGCATTATGACCTTGGGGGAGAGACAAAAACAGCCCTGGGAGGGAAACAGGTTCAAAGAAAAATGTTTATACATACCAGAAATGCCACAAGGGGCTGGGATATTATAATGTGATCTTTTAGATGTACCCAATGGCTGAGATATTATAATGTAGCTTTTTCAATGTATCCAATAGAGTTGCAAGTAGTGTATTGTAGAGCGCTTATATAAGGCGTGATTTCTTTCAATAAAGTTGAAGCTTGCTCTATCATTCACATTGACTCGGCTGCTTGCTTCCTCCGCCCACCGCAGGTACCTCTACAAAAGCCACTCACTTGGTACTACAGAACTGTACAGCAAGGCATGAAAAGGACTTTTACCTGCCTACAGCTAGATGTTGGCTGAAAAAGATGAGGTCTACCAAAGGAGCTCACCTGTGGAGATGCATCCAAGGCCAGTGTGCTATAGCACAGCTCTGCTGGAGATTTATCCTGGCTCTGAGCCGGGCAGTTCAGAGCTGCCTTGATCGTAACAGCACAGCACATATGCTAGCTCTTCTGCTCACAGCTGCACACAGTGGTCACACCGTGTACTCTGCACCTGCTTTTGCACACTGTACAGCTTGCTATTATTCCATCCTCAGTGAAGGAGCTTTAATCACAGGTAAAAATACCATGTGTAAGTTCATATGCACCTAAAAGCTCATCAGCACAGGCACCTGCCCTTCCCTGTGCACCAGAGGCGGGTGGGCCAGAGCAGGCACTGCCGCAGAGCTAGTTGCAGGTGGGTGCCAGGAGAAGGCTTGTGCCAACACCAGAAGTCACAAGTCCAGACTGGGAAGGTGAAGGCCACAGCAGGTTCAGCCATGGTTGCTAGTCCCTGGACACACACAGAGCAGCCAGTGCTGGATGATGCCCAGCAAAGCCCCACTGTGCCAGGCAAGCTGCATCCAGGAGGGTCCACATAAATACTTAGGTGGCTCCTAGTGCTTCCACACAGTGCAGACTGTGTGGGGGTCTGTTTATTAAATGCAAGGGTCACGATTCATGCCACCAGCTTCCCCAGCCCACAGGTGACACCCTGGGAAATTATTTGTTAGAGAACTAAACAAGTGCAGGCCTGGGACAAGCTGTGCCCTTGGCAGCCAGTATCAAGATGCAAGCATCCCTCTGTGCCACTGACCTGTGCAACGAAGCGATGACCTCCCAAGCACAAGCTGAGCCTCCAAGGGCCAAGCGGACCTGTCAGCAGCACTCCCTTCTCCCTCTGGCTGGCACTTCCTGGTTCTGGATGAGGGTACTCGGTTAGATGGTCCTGCTGGCTCTTTGTTCCATGGTGGGCATGCTGTCAGCCAGGCACAGGGTGATGCCTGCAGGAACCCAGCACCCGTTGAGCAGTCTCTTGTGCCCCACTCCTTCCTTTGGGGTAACTATGTCCTCACTAGAGAGCTAATCGCCCTCTCAGCCTGCTTTCCTCCAGCTCCAATGCTGCCCAGCAAAGTCACCTGTGGCCAGTCTGGGGGGATGCCCCACACAGGGGACCCCCTTACCTCCTGCAGGTGCAAGTAGTGCCCCACGGTGCTCCCAGAGTGGATGTGGGTCAGCAGCTGCTTATGGTTTCAGGTCGGCAGAGACCAGCAGGTGCTGAGCGGGCAGAAAGCACTTCTCAAATTTTAAGAGGCTTTTCCAGCCAATGGGGAGGAGGTGGCTGCCTGCCGCGGCCCGAATCCCCTTATAATCCCACTGCCCAGGGGCTCCTCGCCTTTCCCTGAGCAGAGCAGGGCAGGCTGGCAGGGCAGATTTAGAGGGACCAAGACCGAAGCGGAGTGAGGGTAAGGTATGCTGGTTATGGACCCAGTCAGAAGGGAGGGTGCAGTGGAGGATGAGGGCACAGGCCCATACTTCAGTAAAGAGCAAAATGAGGGAAGTGACTGCTTTCAAAGCCCCCCCCTCCCCACTTCCTCAGCCACCGTCCAGAAGAATGGAGAAGCACTGGTGTGATTTTGCAGGGCATGTGCCCTGCAGAGAAGGAAAATAAAGTGGACCAGTTGAGGAACTGCCACCATCCATGGCTCAAAGTTCCGGATCCAGCCCACCCCTGGCAGCTCACCCACAGCCCTTGCCCCAGAACAAACTCCCTCAGTGGCTGACACCCATAAGGGAGGCTGGTAGGTATGGCGGATGAGCCAGTCTCTAGCCACCAGTGGGGGAACCCATTTTACTTCCAGGGAGGGCCCAGGGCTCACCCCAGGTGGGGTTTTGGGGAGGGAAAGGCCTGGACTGTAAAACCCCCAGAGCCCCTCAGCCTCTTGGTGGGGGGGCCTCCGGGGGCTTGCAGCTCTCAGACAGGGTTTAATTTCTAATAAGGTTAATCAGCTAAAGCCCTGGCCATTGCTCACGCTCCCTCCCTCACCCACAGTGCCTCTCCTGTGAGGGCTCCCCGAGCACATGCAGCTGTGTGGCCAAGCTGGTGGGGCCGCCACAGGTCCCAGGGGAGCGTTTCCCACACACACCGAGCAGTCACGGGGTGCCCCTGAGGCGCCCAGCCCAGCCCAGCAGCAGGCGAGAAGATGGCTGCCAAGCCTTGTCCTCCCGGGCCAGGCCTGCCCCTGCGTGGCACCTGAAGTGGGGACTTGCTGCCCTCCAGCGGCAGAACAGCCGGGGTGGGCGCGGCAGAAGGCAGGCAGCAGTGGGTCGTGCAGCCCTCCTAGTGCTCTCCATGTCCACCCTAGTCCCCCAGGCTGGCGTCTGCCCCACCAGAGCCACGACACTGTAGCATTCAACACCCCAACCATGGGCAGCCATCATGGCCCCAGCACTGGCAGAGACCCCATGTCCTCCTCCCCCTATGTCCTCTGACAGAGGTGATGTGCCAGCTGCTGGGACACCTACAGAAGTGTTTTATTAAAAAAAAAAAACCTCAAATCTTTTCCACAGGATAACAGGTGAAGGAACAGGGTACTGGTGCTGGGCACTGTCACCTGCCCCCACCTTGCCCTGGGGCTGCCCAGCAAGGGAAGGGGCCGCACTGGGGGTGAGAAGGGGCAGATGCTGCTATAAATGGACAGTTTCCAAAGGGGCTGAGAGCAGAGTGCTGCATGCTGCAGACCCTGGCAGCTGGACCACATCGCTGGAAGCCTTCTTGTGACCTCCTCCCTTTGAGGTTCATTTTTCTGGTAGCAAAGGGACTATTGGGCAGGTGTCCTTTGCCTACAGCAAGGCTGGCAAAGCTTCACCTTTGTCATCCTGCTAGCACTGCCCCATGCTGCAAATGATCTCACCCTTTCACCCCTCCACCTCCCAGACCAGCATCTTCCAGGCCACCAGCACCAGTAACACGAGACTTCTCCCACTCAAGCAAAGTAACATCACACAGGGAGGGGGGACAGGGAGCAATCCAAAAAGAGCAGCAGGGATCTGCTGCTGGCTAAAGCACAGCAGACAGCCAGGTGCCAGAGGCAAGGGAGGGGAAAAGAGAAGTGACTCCTTGAGTGGTAGCACTAGGTTGCTGCCCAGCTGGGGGTCACAGACCATCACTTGTATGCCTCCCCCTTTCTTGCTGAAATTGTTCACCATCCACAGCTCCACTTCATCGAATGATGGGTGCTGAGCGGTCGTTGGTGACTGTGGGGCGCAACTTGACTGTGGCAAAGGGGTTGGTACCTCTGCAAGGGGAAAAGAAACAGGCAACCATCAGGAAATCTGCCATGACCGTGCAGGGTTCCCACTGACAAAACAAAGGCTACTTAGTCCTGTCGGACAACTGCCCCCAGGCCAAGGAGGACTGTGGTAAAGCTGGCTGCTGAGTATGTTTTCTCCCTCCTTAACACACTCTGCTGCAGGTTCCCATGTGGTTGCCCTTGGGCTCTCCTCAGGGCTTCTCATTCTCCCTCTTCCACAGGATGAAGAAGGGATATTAGCATAAGGCTGTGCCTTTCAGTTGCACTCTACACTAGTGGTCCCTGACCCTCCCAGCAAGGAGTCAGGGAGCAGAAAGAGGCCACAGCACCATGCCAGAAATATGGAGACACCAACTCAGCTGCAGGGGGAAAGAAAACAGGGATTTATGGCAAGTATCATCTCCACAGACCTGACTCAAAGCTAAAACCCATTTCCCTTAGGCCTCAGCCCTTTCCAAGCAAGCAGGCTGCAAAAATCATGTAGCTCCATACTCATGCTGCAAGCTGCTATTGTGGCTCTTTCAGAATGGATGGGAAGGAGCATGAAGGTCTGGCCATATGCTCAGTGTGCTCAGGTCCTTCCTCATATTACCAGGGGTAGGAGAGAGTCTTCCCAGTCAGCAGAGGCCAGAATGGCTCACCTCTGCCTCCTGTTCTGGAAAGTGGGCTTTGCACTGCTTCTGTCCAGACGCTTCCCTGTTCCTCCCACATTTGATAATCGAGAAGATTAAATCAAAATAGCATTGTAATAATGCCCCCCTGTCATCTGATTCCAGAGCAGAGCTCCAGGACTCACTCACCTTGGGAAGAGTTCAGGGGGATGGTCAAATAGTCCTGTTTTCTGCAGTGAAAAGAAAGGCAGCAGTGAGCGATCAGGTGGGGAATGGAGAGACAACAGTGAGGCAGAAGACAGTGCACACATGGAGGAAGATTTCACAAAACACTTAAGTGAGTTAGGAGCCCAAGTCCTATTAACAGGGCTCTGACTCCTTATTCATTCAAGTTTTATGAAAGCCCACAAACTCACTGCTACAGATTACACCCTGATTTCTGTGGTGGTAGGTTTTCCCTACACCACAGGTTCCCTATTCCCCTAGGACACATCCCTTTTTCTTGGGGAAGAAATGAGATGCCTCAGATCCCCAAAGTGTCATGTCTGAAGAGCACAGCAAACAGTGATAGTCTGAGCTACAATTCACCCTGCCAGCACAGCCAGAGATGCCCCCCTCATATTGCCCACACACCCTGGCAAAGAGTTTATCATCAGTGCTTTCACATGCTTCCTGCATCCACTTGGAACTCAAGAGCTCCGGCTACTTACCCTACACCACATACTGCTTAAATGCAGACCAACCTGATGGAGAAAGAGGGACCGAGGACACGCAGCCTTTATTTTTGGCCAGTAGATAGTGACAACTGCCTGCTAAAGTACGCCAGCTTCTGTAGCTACTGGCAGACAAGAAAGCCACATGTGGCTATTTGTGTTCCAGTTGGGAAGTCAAACATGCACCCATTTGCTCCTGGCTCAACTGAAGGATGTCTTGGGCATAAGTTTAGACCAAACTTCTCATGAGGCTCAATCACTCTGTCACAGTACTGCAAATGCTCCATACACTTCATTGCTCAATCCCAGGTCTACCCTTACACACTAGCCCTGGGACTGGATGGAAACCAGTGACCCAGAGACAGGAGGGATAGGCTGCACAGCCTGTTCCCCTCTGTGTTGTGCAGCCTAAGGCTTCCTGAAACCACAGAGCAGGACATGAAGGGAAAAAAAAGAGTAATTAAATGTTGTATTCTTCAGTGCTTTGAGCCATCCAGTTGCTTTCATCCTCTCACTGGCCTGGAACCAGCAATCAGAGATGAGTTTTCCCAGCCTCCTATGAGACTGAGCAAGTACTACTCCACAGGCAGCACCATTCTTCCCTCTCCCAGGACCTCAACTCTAACAGTCCTCAACTTTAACTTTGTCCTCACCAGTCAATCCCCCACAGCTGGAAGCAGTGATAAGTGGAGGGTTTCCTTCTCAGTACAGACACAACTTGTTCTAAGGCTCTCCAAAATGGCTGTGCCCTCAGCCTTTGCTCCTCCCTTTTTCCCTACCCCAGCTGTGACTTTAACTCAATCCTTTTTTGAATTTAGAAGAGCCCTATGAAACTCCTCTCCATTCTCTAAAAGAAGGAGGATGGCGTCTCTATTAGCTGGTTACCCACTCCCAGCCCAGCCTGATCACTCCATGGTCCTACTATTAGCAGAAAGAGGTGCTGCCCTGGAGCCACCAGAAGGCAGGCTGGGAGGTCATGGAGAAAAGGACTGAACTGAAGAGTCCCTGGTGAGCAAAAAGAGAGAGAAATGAGAAGGCAGAGGCAGAAAAGCAGTCCCTTGGGGAAGCACAGCCAGGCAATGAGGATCTGCACACACAAGGCTGACTGTCAGGGGTGGTGGCATGCAAACAGGCTGGGTGAGTGCTAGCAAGACCTCTTAGCTTGAGAAGGGAGGAGGTCACACACCATCTGGAAAGTGTTTTACTTTCTCAACAGGCCAATCCAGAAAAGACGTGCCTTAGAGGATGGAAGGCAGACGTGGCCCACTCCACACACACCCACTAGTCACTCCTACACTCACCTTGGAGACAGAATTGACTGGGGTGGCCACCCCACTCTGGTGACTGCTGGCACCCACTGAGAGGGGAGGTGAGTTTGGCAAACTGGGCTGGGCAGCAGCAGACCAGTAATTGCTAGAGGAAGGAGTGCTGGGACAGTCCAGGATGTCATCCATACTGTGACTGCTTCGCAGTGGGAAGGACCTGAGCAAGAGGAGAAGACAGTGGCGTGAGAGTCAAAGACAAGGAGTAGGGAGCAGCACGGGTGGTAGCCACAACATGTATCTATGAAATGTCTCTGGAGAAAATAAGCATCTTTGAGAAGATACTGCATGTGTTAGGGAAGCCATCTAGGGTAAGCCTGTGAGATCTCAGGGCACAGTGAGGCTCTCAGCAGATGCTCAAGCATAGGAGCACTGCAGGTCTCTATGGGGCACCCCCAAACAGGTGTTCCAGAGGTGTTAGCAACCTACCAGGAGCCACTTCAGCTCCTCCCTGGCCAACTGCTCTCCCGTTACCTGGTGGTTGGCTCCTCCATCTCCCTCGCATCCTCCAGAGGCTTGACATAAGCTTCGGGGAACCAACCGCATCTAGTGCACAGAAGCAGAAATGAATGACCTCTAGGCAACCATACTTCGTGGCTTTTCAGATACAGATGCCCAAGACTCTTGATCTACACCACCCCGCACATCAACCGAGCTGCTGCTTGCCACTACCTTATGTGACAGGGTTTCTGCACATCCGTCACCCCTAGGTGGGGCATGGGTTTATTGTGAGAAAGTCCTTGAGCTTGGAGCAGGACTTGCTTATCTCAGAGGCTGTGTAAAATCCATGCTTCTGTGAGCAACGCTGGTGCAATGCAGGAAGTGGCACGCTGAGTACAGTCGCCAAGGCCAGCACACAAGGAAGCTGTGGAAATCCCCTCTCCCCAGGGCAAAGCAGCTCCACCCCAGAAATCCCCAAAAGAGAAAGGTGTTGCTTTTGCTCATCCCACATGTGAGTGTGAGCTTCCCTGCAGAGCATAGAACAGGGCAGGCTTTGCACACAGGTGTTGGCCAGCAGCACCACAGGGAGTAATTCAGTAAGTGCTGGGTGCAGCAGTTTCCATGCCCTGTCTGTACTGGAGGGTGCAGTGGCAGCCGTGGTGTGAGATGAGAAATTCCAGGCCTCTCAGGTAACTCCACAAGTCATGCAAGCTGGTGGGGGGACACCTGTCTCTTCTACCCAAAGCTCCTGGAGCTTTCTAGGGCAGCTCATCCACACTCACCCTGCCCCACCACATCTCCGTGGCTTGGAAAGCCCTCATGCTAGGCACAACCCACGACTGAGAACATAGCGATGTCCCACCCAGATGGTGGGTGAAACACAGTGCCCAGGCAATGTGGGGAGGGGAAGTGGGAGATAATTTCAGACTTAAGCCTCCCAGCTCCAGACCTGAAAAGCCTACATCAGCCTGCCAGGCTGATTGACAGCGCCGAAGTCACGTACGTGGATGAGCCCTCCAGCTTGCCATAGAGCCAGCCATTCTGCGCGTCTGGCATCAACACCATGATGACATCCCCGGGGTCAAACTGTAGCAGGGTCCGGTTGGCGCCTGTCGCATGGGGCACGATAGCCTGCACTCTCACCATGCCACTCCTCCTCCTGCCTTCACTGCCACTGCTGGCCTCGCCAAAGGAACCCGAACGGGAGGTACGGCCAGTAGGGGCCAAACCTGCAGGGAGGCATCAAGGGGGTTTGACTGGAGCCTGGCACCCTCCTGCAAGACCCGTGCTGCCTCGAAGGGACCAGCGCATCCCTGGCCAAGTAATTATCTTGGAGGAGTAGATGGCTTTTCTCCGCAGGCAAAGAGCAGGGCATAGCATGGGAAAGGTCAAAACATTCATCTTGTAGGAGAAAATTAACTTAAGCTGAAATCACTTGCTTTGCACTATGTCCTCTTTGGCTAGACATATGTCTAGCTGCTTGATCTCCCTCTTCCCAACCCTGCTAGAACAACTGAGAAACTGGGTCGTTTTCTTCTCCCTCTGCCCCCTTTTTTGTTTTTAAACACTTTAAGCTGAAATTTTTCAGGAAGGAAAAGCAGGTGAGACATGAGGTAACCAGCTGGGTTTTCTAGGGCAGGGTAATATTTAATCTGGTAGTGCAAGAGAAGATGCATTACCAAAATGGGAACTCCAGTAAGAACTAGTACTCATGGTTCAAGAAGCCTTGAAATTGCACACCTCTGGGTTCCCCCCTCACACAGCCAGCCAGAAAACCTAGTCTTGTCCTGGATGGACCCTGCTCTGAGGTTGTGCTCACCCCCTGCTTCATTCAGTCTTGCCCTCCCCAGCTCCCATATGCACTGTCCTCTCACCTTGCCCAGGAACGTGGCTGAGGATTGGTGGGCTAATAGAGTGGTGGTCCCTCCCTAAAACCAACCCTGTTCCCAGAGAGGCCTAACTGCTATGTCTCCCCCCAGCATTGCTCCCAGACATGGGTCATACTGGCTGATGGTGTCCTCCGCAGCAGCCGTCTGGCGGTCTCTGGCTGGGGAGACAGTCTCATTTCTGGAGGCTCGGGAGAGAAGATGCTGGATCTACTCCCAGTCATGGGAGAAGAAAAGTCTCCAAGGGGTCTCTGGGGCTGCTGGAAAGAAAGGAGGCTGAATCCACAAGGGCTGCATCAAGCAGGAGATGCTCTGAGAGACATCTAGTCCCTCTCGGAAAGCCAAACCCATCATGTTCCCCCCATCACAACCCATACACACACTTCATCTTGGTCAGGAAAGGCCATGGAAGCTGGACAAGGCAGCAAGTACCAACAGCTGGCCAAGGACCAGCCTTGTCCTGCAGTCTGAAATCCACTGCCAAGGGGCAGGGTGTCTGTGGGTTCCTCACCATCTCGAGGTGGCTGGGGATAAGCCGACCCGATGGATACCCCTGGCCATGGGAGACCATGAGAAGCCCCTGCGAGTGGCTGTTTGAGGGGTTGCGGCTGGCCTCCAGCTGCTCCTTCCACTGTGGTGACTTGGTCTGGATCATGCCCCGAGCCTGGGGAGAGAGAGAAGAGGTGACAGACAGGGCAGAAGACCTACAGAGGGAGCCAAGGGCTGACACGTGCATTAGTTTTGCAACCAGGTCTTTGGGAATGGTCCAAACAAAGCCTCACAGGAGTGAATTTCTAGGACAGTACCCCCAGCATAGGCCCTGTGGTCCCAACGACCCTGCTATAAACACCTACATCAGCCTTCCCTCTCCTATCACTCACACACCCAACTAACCCCATGTCAGCACCATCCTCAGCCTCAGTCATTCTTTCCTAGACTAGTACAGTCAGCCTGGACCCCACAGCAAGAAATGTAATAGTTTCCTGCCCAGTCCACACACAGATGCTGCCTTCACCCAAGGAGTGGCTCAGGCCTGGCTCTCTCCTGCCTGCATGCCCCCACCTCTACAGCCATGCTGCCCGCTCCCCAAGCTCTGCTCTCAAGCACACCAGGGTCATACCCTGCTGTAAAACTGTAGGAGAGTGTTGTAAAGCATGTGGTGCTTTTCAGCTAGAAAGCGGTAGCGGCGTTTCTCCTCCAGCTCAGCCTCCCTCTGGCTCTCAGAGACGAATGCCTGCATCTCCGAGCGTAGCCGCATCACATTCTCCTGGGCCACAGGGGAAAGAGGGAGGAAGAGTTCAGCATAAATCCAGCAGAGCGGGCTCACTCATGGCAGGGGAAGGGTTGAAATGAGTCATGTCTACCAGCTTCCCAGTCCACTTGCAGTGCTGGAGCAACACACTGGAGCTAGAGCAGATTGCCAGGGATTAAGCCCTTGCCCACTGAGGCTTGCTAAATGAGGAACAGCCTTGGCAGGAGCAGGCACACAGGTCAGCAGCACCCTGTAGAAAAGGAGTTTACTCCTTTCCAGATAAGCCTGCTGACTTTTGAGTGTTGGGGTCAATACCTTGGTTTATAACGTTGCTGAGAAATCAGCCCTGGCTCCAGATAATCCAGATCTTTTCCCAGCTCCCCTTCCTGCAATCACTGCTTACCTTCATCTCCCGGACATTTTTATCACGGGCCCTCTCCATTCTCCACAGCTCTGCCATGCATTTATCCAGCTTGGTGGCTCTGCGCTGGTACTCTAGCTCATACTGCTTCTGGCTCTCCTGCCAGGGAGAAACTAGGCTCAGTGAGGAACCAGAGACCCAGCCACACTGTGATGCAGCAAGGGTTCTGCTCTGATGGTGATTGAACATCTGAATCACCCTGAAATCAGGCTTCAGCTGGACCTCTTATAAAAAGTCTTTCTTTACCTTTCTCATCATTTTGAAGGGCCCAAGAGTGCTGATGAACCTCAAGATCTCAGAAAAAAGAACTGGCCTCCAGCTTCCCTGGCACTGGGAGGAAGCCTCCAGGCTGCTGTCTCCCTCCCTGACACTACACACCAGCATGGCCAGCTGGGCCACAACAGCACAGGACCCACACCCATGCAGAGGCTGTGGTCTGGGGAAGCTGAGAACTCTGCTTTTGGGATGCTGAGTCTCTCAGCCCCAGTGAAGCATTTAGGAAGTCCCACTGCACAAAGACCAGTCACCTGCTGTCTTTAGCCCTTCATCACCAGGCAAACTAGGCAGGAGGGTGGAGGGGTGGGGGTGTTTTGGCTCATGATGGGAGAAGATAAGCCTCCCTAACTCCTGCTGAGGAAAATCAAGGAAACACCTCAAGTGCTCAAACAAAAGCCCTTGGGTAGAGGGGAGAGGGAAACAAGGGAGTTCATCACTCACACTGATGAACTGTACATCCATTTTGGTGTTCTTCTCCATGTGCTGCAGCAGGTCCACGTGGAAGGTCTGAGCCTGGAAGAGGCAAAGGAGTCATCACCCTCATCCCTTCACCACGTGGTGTGTTACATGCACTGTGGTGAGGGGCAGCTCGTAAAACTTTCAAAGCTAGTGACTCTCTCACCACCTGGACCCCATGCAGAAGCCAGAAATGGGCACACATGGAGCAGCCCTGCAGCCTGGGGGTCAGCACTCAGCACCCACCTAACCATTAACCCTCAAGCTTCTGCACGGACACAAACAGCAGTGTCTGGAAGGGCTAACATCGCCTCCACTCCTGTCCCACCACTGCCACCCAGGGAAAAAGAGGATGGCCTCACAACATCTTCAGAGCTAGACATCACTCAGTCTACTGTGCACCTACTACTGTGCTTGTGGAGAGGTGGTGACAGTCCACCTATGGCACCAAACATTGAACACCAGACAGGCTCTGGGCATGCCAGCTGTGTAACACACGTCTGCCACACACAGCAGGGATAGGGAGGCAGGCACCTGCCAGCAGGCATGTCAGAGGGCAGGAGATGGGGCAAATTGGGCAAATGCTGGCAAGCTGTGGTTAAGGAAGTCCCTTTTTTCCCCACTTGCACCAGCCCTCAGGAAAACCACTCACCACAACTTCTAAATCAGAGCTCAGGATTCTCTGCATGTCAGACATCTGCATCAGAATTTCACCTTCAGGGAAAGAGACAGGAGAGGGTGGAAAAATCCTGCGGCCATTTCTTTGTGTGCCCAAGAAGACAGACAAGCAGTGTGCAACTCAGAATGATGATATACAGGTGTGAAAGTCCAACTGATAGCACAACGCACTGCTCTCTGCACCCTGAGAGAGGCTGATAGCCTTCCTCCACAGGGCTCAGATTCACCACCACTCCCCAGGCACTGACAATGTGGGGTTGCTCCAGCCCACGAAGCTGCCAGACCAGCACTCTGCTACAGCCCCAGGTGCCAGAAGGCAGGCTTGGCTCTGCCATGGGCTCTGGGTGCTGGGTTTCATGCAGCCACAGTCCCTACAAGCCCCATTTCTAACCCCAATTGCACCCCAGCTGCAGTGCATGGTTCTAGCTCTTTACAGGAAAGCAGCTACAGCACTCATTGCTGATGCTGTGCATGGTCCTGCTTCACCAATGTTAGTATTATGAAACCAGTAAAGGAAGAGGTTGATGACAGGGAGCAGGGGATCAAGCTGGGTGGCGCAGATGATGATAGCAGTCTGCAGAAAGGACACTTCTGCTGGAAGCTGTTTCTAAAATGTTTAGCAGTAGAGCAGTTCCCTGACCATGTTTGCAGCAGTTGTCATTAGGCTACAGAATTATTCGAGCTGCTGAGCCCCTCAGCCCCAGGCTGCCATTTCAGCTGGCTGCAGGCTCAGCAGGAGAACACCCCATCAGCTGTTGTGAGTCCATGCTCTCCAGCTTTTCCCTCACACCTGTAAGGAGGAGCAAAATGGTTCCTCCAAGATGAAAACTTCATCTCTCTGGGCATGATGCCTCAGCAAGGATTGATTTCCATAACAGGTCTATCCCAAGAGCTGGGCTCAGTCATTGATCTGAGAGATACAAGAGAGTGCTCGAGCCCTGGGAAATATTCAAGGATAAAAAATAAATTTGACTCTCACTGCCTGGACAGGGCCTGGTGCTGTGAGACACCATTTGGAGTAGCAGTCTTCCTTCCCCCAGTACCTGGAAAGGGACCAGCTAAGATGAGAAGGCCAAAAAAACGTAATTGTGGCTCATCACAGGACAGAGGTTGGTGAGTGGGAGAGCCTTACCCAGCATGTGTGAGGTGGAGCTCTCCAGCGCCTGCTCCCCAATCTTCTCAATTGCCTTAAAATACACCTCAGCTGCTTTGGATAATGCTGTGAGGAGAGGAGAGGGGAGGTGAGGATCTGGCCTGCCATCACCAGCCCTAGCAAGCAGTGCACAGGACAGCCACCCACTGGTACTTTGCCTATAGGCAAGGGTACCCAGTCTCTCCCCATTTCTGCCTAATAACAGCAGTGGATCCTGGAGCAGAAGAGTGCTTAAGAGCAGCTCAGGACATGTCAAGGTCAGGGACCAGCAACTTCATCCTGGGTGATGGCACAGCGGATGCCCAGGACAGATGCAGCAGCATGGTCTGGCTATGCAGGACCCACTCACCATGGAAGGCATGCAGGTAGTTGTTCCCCAGGTACACCAGGTTCTCCAGCGCAGGGTTGAACTGCTCCAGGATACTCTGTGGCCAGGCAGAAGCGGATTAATGCCAGCCTTCCCCACGCCCCAGAGACCTCAACAGGTCAGTGCCCTCCTGCTGTTCAGCTGGATGCAGCAGGGACCCAAAGAGCTCCCACAGCCACGACACTGGATGGCTGTGGTGATGTACAGCCCTGCACAAAGTCAGCTCCCTACATCAGAGGTAACTGGGACCCTCAACTGCCTGGAGTCCTCTCCAACCAGCCAGGAGAGGAGCAGTGCAAGAGCAACGTAGCCCACTGCAGAGCTAAGTGGTCGCCTGAAGGTGGCTAACTCCCAAAGCCCCACACCCACCGCAGGCAGGGGAGAAACTGCAAGGGGATCTGAGAAACCTTTTCCCTCACCTCTGAGCCGGCCAGAGTGAGGGCCACTGCTTATTATCCAGTCATGAGCACAACTTTTTCCTGTCCTGCATATGGGGCACTGCCAGACTCGGCAGCTTAGCAGGAGAAGAGATGGACTGCTTCAGACCAGCCTCTCTTACTTGCTGTATTTATCAGAGGTGTTTATGGCCTCCAGCAGAACTGACCACAGGCTGCAATAAGCAATTCCTCCTCCCAGCCCTCACCACCTTGGTGCAGCACCAATGTGCGTAGGGAAGTGTTTGTGAGAGCAGGCTGCTTTTTCCAGCAACGGAGAAAACAACAGCAACCAAGACGTGTCACCCTTCCTTCATGCTCCATGTCCAAACGACCCTGGTTGTTCAATTCCTTCCTGGATCTGCCTTAAGACCCACACCACCCTCCCCTCCTGCCAGTCATCTGCTTTGAAACACAGCCCAGAGCCCACAGGAGCTGCTGCAGTTCAGCCTGGGGACGGATCCAGCCCTCGGCTGTCCACCCAAGAGAGCCTTTGGCAGAAAACAGCTCTTCTCCTCCCACCTGCACATCCCCCCAAGGCAGACAGAAGCAACCACTCACCTTATAGATGGAGATGGTGGACCTGTAGGACAGGTCCATCTCTGGAGTCTCTTCCCTCTGGCCTGGGGGGGCTGTGCTTCTGCACAGCTGGCTGGATGGAAAGAGCCTGTCACTGTCAAGGCAGGGCAGTAGGGAGACACAGATGTGGTACAAAGGGAATGGAGCGCTCTGGAGTTTAATAATTCACCAGCCAAGGGGCTGGAACTTGATCTCTGGAAGTAACCGGACTCTGGGGAGAGAGGAATCCTGCAACAGCCAGCAAGGCATGTGACTACCTTCTTGCATTATTGATTACCGGCTCGGTACCCAGCTCTCCCTGCCCTGACACCCGCGGAGCCAGCCACCTGTCAGAGTAACACCTCTTGCTGCCTCCAACAGTGCCACCACCTGGAGGTGGCTTGCTCGGCCTCACTGTGCTAGCAGAGCATCTTCAGATCCTTCGAACACAGCTTGTGATCACAGGCAACAAATAGCAGGGGCTGGGGGGAAACACAAGGAAAGCTCCAAAAGGGTTTTACCTCTTCCCTGTCCACTATTCCCCCACCCCAAACTTCACCCTCTCTGGCTCTTAGCCTCCCTCACACTCCCAATCTCAGTGAGACTCCCTAACAGCAGACACAAGCTTGTGCCTGAGCCCTCCTGCTCTCCCTGCCTGTTGCAAGGAGCCCAAACACAGCATCACTCCAGGAAGTCCCTACAGATGGTGCAGACTATTTATAAAGATGTGAGGAGAGTGCAAGCCAAGGGCAAAAAGCAGAAAGGAGCTCATGTTCTCTCTATCTTAAGGTGTGGAGTTTTGTTTTTCCACAGGAAGGTAAGCCCCTCCATTATGTAGGAAAAATAAAACCTTTACTCCACATTAAAAGCCCCTTAATTCCACAATCTCATTTGTGAAACAAGATCAGAAGGCAGATCATCAGTTTTCAGCCCTATTCATGACTCAGCACCCACACTCCTGCCAGCAGTCTCCGTTGGGAATCAGTGGGTACCAGGTCCAACAAGCTTGCAGCAGTTACTTTGTCCAGGAACCATGTGGGGATTCCAAAGTTAAAGCCCTATCTCCAGCCATTTGTATCCCAAGGGTTTTCAGTGGTTCCCTTTTTTAGGCCAGACTAGCTCAAAGAGCATTCTCACATGAGAGCTGGTCCAAAGCCTTCCCCCTGGCTGCAGCTGCTAAGCCTGGCACAGTGTTGTGCTTCGTGGGACAGCCAGCCACTCCCACCACACACACCTCCCAGGTCTGACTGCTGGGACTATTGGGACAGGCTACTCACCTCTTCAGCCCATACAAAAGGTATAAGCAGCCCAATTCCTCATTTTCTACCTGTAAGAAATTCAGATGCTGCAATCTCAGAACCCTGTTGTAGGACAGGGAGAGAGACAAGACAACCATGACAGTGGAACAAAATGCAAACCTCTCTTTATTTCAGGTCATGTCAGTTTTGCATAGAAGCACTATTCACAACAACAGTCCACCCAGTCAAAAGCAAATGATTAAGAATTCAGTTTTTCAAGTTACTCCTCAAAATATCTCCAAATAGCTACATATATTATTTATAAATAGGAAAAATTACTGCAGGAATATTTAGTACTGTAGCATCCACAACGGAATTTCCAGTAAATATCTGTCCCAGGGTCAGTTTCTTTGGTGGGAACTGATCTCAGAGCTTTTCAATTCCACGTTAAGAATAAGAAGAAACAATCTCTATACCAAGCCATGATAAGGTAACAGTAATCCCTTTTCCTCATACCATACACTCCGAAACACCTTGGTCCCAGTGGGCCAAGTAATCCCTGAAGCTTTATCCAGCCTTGGCTCATTCTGTGATGTGGGAAGGTGCACAGGGCTTTGTCAGTGGAGGTGCTGCACAGATAGGAGACAGACTCCAGCAGCTACAGCCCAAGACAGGTAGGCAGGGGCTCTGGCTTCTGGGAAGGGCTGTACAGTCAGATAAGGGCAGCAAAACTGAGCACAACAGCAGAGATGGGGCTGCAGTATGAAGGTAACTGTCAGCATGGCACAGCTGTCTGGGAATACATGGAGTGTGTCCTGGAATAAATGTGTATGTGCACTGTTGTCTATTACTTATCATTAATTCCTTAGTAGTAGTAGTCCCTCCCCCACCTCAAAAACTAGTTTCAAGGGCAAATCCAAGCCATTTCAGTGTCTGCTGCTCCTTGCCTTTGGGATGTCATACGGGAACCTCCAGGTCAATCATCAAGAGAGAAGTTGCACCAGCTGCTCAAACTGCTCCCGCTGCTGGTAGATATAAAGCTGGGTGTCCCAGAGAGCATTCACCAGCACAGTGTCGTTCACCTCATCCAACATCACGTCTGCATGCAGCTGAGGGCTAAGCCTGCACACAGCAAGACAGCATCACCAGCTAGGCACAGACACAAACACGCTGACCAAAAGACTTGTGCAAAGTGGCTCCCGCTGTCCTGGGTGTTCACCTGCCCTCATCCAGCAGGCCTGCAGAGCCAAGGCCTGCCCCTGCTTTAGAGGCTCAACCACGCACAAGGCTGAGCCACAGCAACCACACCACCCAGGAAGGATGCACATCCCTGAAGGACCCTGTTAGACAGCATCCCCCAAGCCCCCACTAACTGACCCTACACAGGGTGTGCTCGACGCATCAGCTCGTACAGCAGTGCATGTCACCAAGGCACGTGGAGAGGGGCAGGGGGACAGGTCTGGGCAGGCATGCTTCTGGAGGGGACACTGCTTGGGATTACACATGCCACAGCCAGGTCTGAAGCAAGAGGGATAAAAATAGGTCTGTGCAAAAAGCAGAAAGGAAGCTTCTACCGGAAATATGGGACATCTGTCATCTCACACCAGGCCCTGGCACGATCCACAGCTGGGCCATCTGCGTCAGTGCACTGCAGGAGAGACAGGCCCACGGTTAGAGCCTGACTGACACCGCTCTTTCCCTGCCTGCAAGAGGCTCTCCTGGCATCAAGTCGAACTGCACAAGCCACAAAGGGAGAGGGGAAAAGCAGGAGCAAGTGCAGCCTGAATGGCACTGTTCACCACCAAGAGGGAGGTGGCTTTTTATCTGTTTTTTTAAATACAGGAACAGTGCTCCAGATCCTTGAGACACAAGGAACTGCACCCTACAAATCATCCATCGCAGTACTGAGGGGATTCCCTTAAAGAAACCCCCAGGATGATCTGAACCACAGCCTCCTTGGGATTTCATCTCCATCCATTTCTGTCCAAACCCAGTACCAGTAGAGCCTGTGATTACCGCAGGCTTTCCGGGCACCACTTCCTTGGGAGCCTTGAAATAAAAGGCAGGAAGCAGAGGGACCTCTCTAGGCATTTTCTGGCTTTAGGAAGCTAAAGAAGATGAAGAAAAAGAATTAAGATTATAGTCAGAGCCTCAGTTCTGATCTTTGTGGCTTTCATTCGTTTTCCTGCACAATATTTAATGAGCTTCTTCCCCAAGCCTGCAAGAATGCCTATTACACATTTCTATCCACAGCTCTGAACTACTGCTTTTTGTTAGTGATACTCCCACTTCTGTCATTTACCAATTTCCCCAGTGGGGATAACAAAGCTTTTCTAAAGAAAAATTAATTGCTGCTTTCTGAGGCGTGATTTACTTTTTTTTTTTTGGTCCAGGCTGCTCATATGATAATCAGTGCTCCCTGGAAAGATACCAAGTTTTGTGAACTCACATCTGCAACTGTTCCTAAGGGTCACTGACCACCGTCCTCTCCTCTGCTCCTTTCAGTTGCAAGAACCTCCCTTGGTACTCAAAACCCCAAAGCAGCAGACCGGGCTTCAGACCTGTTGTGCTCCCACAATTCTTAAGCTATTGTTCATTTACTCCGTTCATTCCTTGAACTGGCCATGATTGAAGGAGCTCCAAGGAAATAAAATTTTCTTCCAAAAGGAAGCTGGAAACCTTTGCTCCCTCCCTACAAGCAACCTCAGGGGTCTTTCCCCATCCCCTTCCTCCCAGTACTCACACAATCCACCACCATCTTGCCAAGCTCTCTGGCCCCAAAAACGGTCTTCGCCAGCTCCCAAGGGTTGGAGGGGCGGAAAACATCCACAGAGCTCACTGGGACCTGAGGAGGCTTCCCTGTCCCCAGGGAGACCACCAACCCCAATTTTCTTACTTCCTGCCTCTGACCCTGTGGACACATGAAAGATTTGTTTGCAAGGACCAACAGTTAAGGTGGAGCATGTCTTCCACAGAAGTCTTGGGGACACTCCGAAAAGCCAAGGCAAAAGGCCTGGTAGCCTCTTCTCTCACCCATCCTCTGCTTTAGTACTGCCTGGTGAGACAGGTATAATCCACGTGACTTCAACAGTTGCACTGTTCTGTCCCTTACACCCCTGGCTGCACCCAAACTCATGGGATCACCCCAAAGATGAGTGCGAGTACCAGATGCCTGTGAAAGAATCTAACTCTTTCAGTCATTTTAGCAACACACTTTCCCCTCCATCTACAGGGAGCAGTAGCTGCCAGTAGATAAGTCTTCTTTCTGAGGCCACACCACAGAAGGCATTCACTCTTTGGCCTTACAGAGTGCAACCATTCTTCTCCATTCACTGTTGGGCAGAAAAACATTCTGCAGACCTGTGTCAAGGGTGACATGCAACCACCAACTGAATCGTCCTTGTTCAAAATTGCAAGGGCAGGCTGATGAGGCTGTCTCACACCCTTGTCAGAAGAGATATTTCACCTCTCGGCCACCATTCCCAACACATAACCCCCTCCACACACTCCCTTCCAGGGTGCTGCACTGCTAAATTCTTTATCCACTACAAGAGGCATCCATTCCCAAACCCTCTTCCCCTTCAAGGGAGGCTCAGTGGAGCCAGGAAAGCCCCAGTTATCAGTCAGAGCCAGGACTTCCCTCACCTTCTTGATCAGTGTCTTGTTGTACTCATGGATCTCTACCATGGCATCGAGGGTCGGGTTGTTGGCTAGCAGGCCACCATCCAGAAAGCGGCCTATCGGCCGGAAATAAGTGGGAGCCGCACCGCTGCAGCGGGCAGCGCGCCATACAAGTTGATCTGGAAGGGAGAGAACG